AAACATTTTGCATGTGGAGGACATGAAACAATATTTTTTAAGGTTTTATATATATTTTTGAATAACTAAGAAATCATAAATTAGTACATCAATAGTAACTGAGCTGTATTTGGATTTAAAATATATGAAATTTCGAGCAGACTAAAGACACAACCTACTTCATTGAAATCTTGATTTAAAAGAAAGAAATAATGCTAGGTATGTTAGAAAGGCTTAGAAACCACCAGGGGGACATTCTGAGCTTCTGATTGGTTATTCATGTCATACATAGAAGTGTTTATAAGGGAGCATTTCCAAAAATGGAAGGAGGTGAGCAGGGTGCCACTATGTTTGATTTATTAAGTGAGCAATGTCTTAGCAAATAGAAAAGATAAGACCTTCTTATTTTAAATTCTAGCTTGTCAGTATCTGTAGTTTGAGTTTCCAGACAAAAGACACAACCTACTTCATTGAAATATTGATTGAAAAGAAAAAAATGATGCTAGGAATAATGTATAGTTCAATAATATTTTGAATGTGAGTCAACAAATGAGATTACATAGCTTTTCAACTGTGACCCATATAGAAAGGGTTAATGTGGTTGTCTATTAAATAATTAGCAAATAATACCATTAATCACCCAGCTCTATTCTTGACCAAATGTTATGTGAAACCAGCATGTAATCAGAAAACAAATAAGATAACAATGTTTTGGGACAACATGGGACCTACTGGTCCATCTCGGCTGTTCCATCCTCTAAACTAAATTAAAATAATTTACAAAAAAAAAATCTTAAAGCTGGCCCTTATCATTCATATACTTATCATGCTTTTTCTTAAACTCACTTAAATTTACTGCCTCTACAACATCCAGTGGCAACACATTCCAAAGGCCAACCACCCCGTTAGAAAAATGAAATCGTCTTAGCTGAAGATGACTCCTACCCTGCCAAAATTTATACTTGTGTCCCCTAGTCCTACTATTCTCACTGTTAAATATGAAAAAAAGATGACGCATAAGCACTATCAATTACCTTTACAATCTTAAAAACCTCAATCAGATCCCCTCCTCCAGCACTTCTTTTTTCAACAGAAAACAATTTGAGAGATTTCAGCCTCTCCTTGTATGACAACACCTCCATCACAGGCACCATTCTAGTAACCCTTTCCAACAATTCAATGTCTTTCCTAAAATAAGGACCTCAAGTCTGAACACAATATTCCAAATGTGGCCTAACAAGTGACCTGTACAATGAAAGTATAATTTCTTTAGACTTGTATTCAATATTTCTGTATATACAACCTAAAATTCCATTTGCCCTACCATTAGCAACAGGACACTGCTTCAATGGCTTTAGAGACTGATCAACTATTACACCAAAATCATTTTATTTCA